GACTAGGAAGGTAGAGCACTGACATCTAGGCCCCATGCTGCAGAGGAAGCTAGGAAGGTAGAGCACTGACATCTAGGCCCCACACCTTAGCTGTACCACTCTGCACCTCCAGTGTGCCCAGTCCTTGAGATCTATAAATTCTATGTCAGACCAGGATTTATATGCAAGAAATCTCTCATTTTCCCAAGAGCATGAGATACATTCTTTGTGTGTCTAAAAGAAGTCTGAGGAAAACAGAGGGCGCTGCCATAGGCACAGGGATGGCTTTCCCAGGTGGGGTCTTCTACATAGCCTTGTGACTCGAAAATTTTGTCCAGGGCAGGCCCTTTTCAGATATCACTGTCTGCCAGCAGAGACAGTTGGAGAGAACTAGAACTTTTATTTGTTTTCCCAGAAAGCTGTGGTGGAAGGCTGCTCTTCCTTTTCTTGGTTTTCTGAGAATCTAATGTGGAGGTTTAACTGAGCATGCTCAATAGATTGGTCTTTTCTGGTGGACCGATAGAAAGTGTAACTCATTTCAAGTTTGCAAGACAGGTATCTATCTGGCTTGAGAGAATCAAGCTCAATAAATATGCTCACTCCAATCTTTATGGTGGGAAAAAGAGTATACACAAACCACCTCATTGCCACTGCTCATCACAGTGGCCTTGAGCAGGGACTCTCAGTGTTTTGGTCCCCCTCTACTCCCAAGGAAGTGAAAACACTAGAAGGTTCTATGATCCAGGACCCTGTGGCTCATAAAGTGCAAAGCCACAGCCCAAGCAGAATCACTTACAGACCAGGAATGGGTGTATGGCTCTAAAGACATCATGACACGCCATGACCCTAGCTGTGAGCCCAGGCTAAAGTCAGTAAGCTGAAAAGAGAAAGTCTTGTCCAGCTGTGTGACAAAGCACATGCCACAGCCTTGGAGTAAGCGTGTGAAACTGATCATCTGACACAAAGATGAACTGAATCACCACATGATGTCAGAGGACTGGAAAGGCTACCAACTCCATTCACATCTGTGTGAACATAAACTTCTTCTGGTCCTTCATTTGCAACTGAGTGTATGAGTGAATTACAGGACTTGAAACCAACAAATTATTACCAAAGAGACAAAAAAAAACCCAAAATACTTATTTCTATGACATCGGCTGCCCTACCTTTCTTCTTTGTTCTCTGTCTGAGTATTACAGAACTGATACACATGGGTAATCAATATGTTATGTCAAAGAAATATTAAATTTCATTCACTAAACAAATTACTTGTTTTCTATGTAAGAAATAAACACAGATTAGAAATATATGTAGCAGCTCATGTTGAACTTTAAGAAGTTTCTGAATCCCCAGACTCTTTTTTTCAGAGAGGGCCCTGATTCCTTAAAAGCCTCTCTTCCTCCATCTGCTAGAAGGTATCAAGCAAGACTCTGACATCATCAGGTGCTTTGTAAGTAATCTGTGCCATCAGCTCTAAAAATGCAGTGATTCTAAGGCTCAGGACAAGTGCCCCGCACTGAAGCTGGCCTTCTTCCTCAATATTCAGACAGAGAAGGAACTCGGGCCTGGAACTCATAGAGCTGACTGGGTGGGTGTTACAGTTATGCCTGTGTATCAAAGAGCCATGCATATCTTTTAAGAAATACTAATATACAGAGGATGCCAGGGATTCCACCTTCACTGGTCTAGGGTACAGCCTGTGCATAGACCTTGAGAAAGGCCCTCTCCTCAGAGGCTTCTAATGTGTACCTTTGAAGAGCCCTGTTAATGTGGAACTTCTCAAAAGAGTTCAACTTGTTTCTTCCAGTGAAACTTGTCTTGGATATTTGCCTTTAAAAAAGCTTTTTGGATAAAAGTACCAGCTCAGCCACACCTCAAAACATAGAGAGCCTAGGGCCTTGTTCTCTACAGCATATAAATAGCCAGAAGCCAGGGCCTTGGAGTCACTGCAGGAAACTGTGCCCCTCCTACCCACAGGTGTGTCCACCTGTCCCTCCTGGGCCTAGTGGCTTTCAGCACAGGGCTGTGCCGTGTGTGCTGTGCCCCTGGCCCCCACTGGGTAAGGATGAACCCTGGCTGATCTGCAGGACATGGATACACACAACAACAACATCATCAATGGCAATGTGTCTCTCATGTATAAGAGTGTGCACCTCCTACCATCGTCATATCCTTTGGGGGATATGTCCCTGGTTTGCACCTTGGGAGCTATGGCTCTTTTGCCATAAGTATGGTTGTCGTAACTGTTGTACTCAAACGAAGTCTTGGAATATTTCTCAAGCTCCTTGGCCAGGTTGGAGCGCGGTGTTGTTGTGGGGACATTGTTTCTGTAGCCATACTGAGGAATCTCAAGTTGCTTGACAAAGCACATTGGCCTGAAAATTAAACAGACAACAAACAACGCTTGCTTTCTCATGGCTGTGCATGCAACATGATTCACATTTATCCTAGTACATATGACTTCCTTCATGATTTGGGACCTTTTACAAGTTATGACTTAACCCTTCCCCCCAAAAAACAGTCTTACTTAGTTATATATCATAAATAAAGTATCTGCCTAAAAGTCAATACTGGAAATAAAGAGAAATAAAATGTTTAAAATGTGTTTTATCATTTTCTCTCATTCTCAGGAAGAAGGTGATGGAAATGATGCCCGAACGGGAGGCATTGCATCTGTGGAGGTTACAAAGGGGAATGGAATCACACAAACTGACCCTGACTCCTGTGAAGTTTTCCTCCAAACACAGGAAATGAAAACACTTAGGGACATAGAATGAGACAGAATTGGACAGAATTTATTTAGCTGGGTATTAAAATGGAGCTGTAGGAAAACCTTTGATCAAATATTCATGATCTTTCAATGTTTTTTTTATCTAATATTCCTTTCTTTTAGACTTTAGGATAAAATATTAAAATGGATGAATTTTTGATTCTTATTCCTTTACTGATGTTCTGTCCTTCGTGTCTATTTCGTAAGTGGAAATCACTTATGACATAAAAGGTCCCCTTATACTCTTTAACCAATGTCTGTTCTACAGCATAGATATGAATGGATAAGTGTTTATGCCTGTCAGTATCAAGTCTTGTCACCCACTGACTCACATTTTTCTAAGGTAAAATATTGTTAAAAGGGCTTGCAGTCATCACCACACCAGCATCGTTTTTTGAACAATCTATTTTAAAACTTCCTTAATTTCAGGAGGGCTTACTGATCACTCTAATTCTGATTTATGGGAAACGTTTAAAAAAAAATAAGATCCCAAGAAAACTGGGTGTTTCCGCACGAAAAAAAATAAAGTGACTCCATGGATAGGTGTTGGCTCACAGCCTATTACAAAGGACGAGAAACTCTGTCCTGTTAGGATGCACACCGGATCTACTGCTGTACCTCACTGGGAAATACTGCCGGTTCGCCATCCTCAACACCGCCGCTGTCTGCCTAGGTAGGAAACGCTGCTTCACGCAGGGAAGCGGGGGCGGAAACTCGGCCGGAAATGCTGCTCCTCAAAAGCCTACTGTTTCTCGGTGGAAACTTGGCCGGAAGGAAAAGCGGCTGGAAGTGCTGCTGGAAATACTGACTGCTTCTCTGTGGAAACTCACCGGAAATGAGGCCCGCTCCTCGGCCGGAAGGAAGCACAGCCTGCTCCTCGGCGGGAAGCATGGCCGGAAACACTAACTGTTCCTAGGCCGGAAGCATGGCCGAATGCACTGACTGTTTCTCTGTGGAAGCGCGGTCTGCCCCATACCTCCCGGGGCATCAGGTGCTGGGCCACGGCGTGTGAAATAGCAGCTGTTAAAAACTGCTGAAATCTTGGTATAATTTTTAAGTATTTAAAAATGGACGTACTTTGCCCCGAATTTTACACGGCATTTGCCATTTATTTTAGTTGCTTAGGTTTTGAAAGCAGCTCTCACTGAGTGGTATTAGAATGTGAATATTACATTACTGAACTATATTCTTTCTTTTTTTGGCTATTATAACTTTTGATGATATTCATCCATATATGTAAGCTGTTTTTTCACTGATTATTTCTTAAATTTTATAGTTGTTTTTGCTTTTATTCATTTTTTTTTTGTGGTACTAGACTGAACCTAGTGTATAATAGAGTCACACCTTTGGTCCCTTCCTGCTGAATTCTAGGCAGTCTACCACAGAGCTGTGTCTCTAGGTGACCTGGCCTTTCTATGTCACTCAACAGTATCTCTATGTCGCTTTTATGATGGCACAGGTTGGGTAAAATGCAGCCTCAAATTACCAGCTTGCTTGTCTTCAGTTTATCAATTCAGCCAGGTTACTTCTTGCCAAAGCAATACAATAACTGGACTGTCATTTGAGGGCATTTTATTAGGCAAGACAGTGCTTCATGAATGCATGAAGTTCTGGCCTTTGTAGTTACTGTCCTCTCCCTCCTGTTTATGTGGTGCTGGGTGCATCTGTCCACTGCACCAACTCAGAGGGACCCTGAGTCATAAAGCCACAGAAACAGTACGATAGGGTGTACCTCAGTTTTGATCGTCAGGAGGGAGGTGAAACTTGCAGCTACCTATATGTCTTATTAGTCTGAAGGACCAAAGAGCTTCTCAAATCACCCAAGCTCAGCACTTGCTATGGAGGAGGGAGACTCAAACCTGCACCTGCGTTTGCAGGGCAGCCGTGAAAGGTCTGTGCATGGAACTCTGTGCCTTTCACAACTGGCTGAATCTGACAGAAGAAAATGAGTAAATTCTTCTAACTATAAACTATGCTCACAATTTCCTACATTTCCCTTGGTGCAGGGGGATCCTCATGCTACCATTGATTAACGGGCTGAGCATTGGAGAAGTCTTATAAGCTGTTATGTATTCAGTCCTGTCCTGCAAAATGACGGTGACAGCAAATAGGGACCTGAGAGGCAGACGAGGGGCTCTTCAAAGTTCTCATCATAGTGTACAGAATATCAGAAGTCAGAAAGGGGTTATCTTGGAATAGAGGGGTTATATCTATTTTCAATTTTCTTATTTTATTTAAATATTTTAAATTTTCTATAAATATTTTTAACCTGTTGCCACAGGAGAAGGGAAGTTTAATTGAAAAAAAAAACCCGTGAAATACTAAATGAGGACACAAAGACATTTCTTCCTCTTGTCTAGTGATTTTCTCCAAATAACTTCTCCAAAAAAAAAAAATACCTTTTGCAGAAGCCAAGTGCTGTGCCTACGGGAAAGCACTCATCATGGCTCTTTAGAGGCAGCCTGTCTGCCTCAGAGCTAGCACTGAGTTTTTGGCTGTGGTGTGGCATCCACCTAACCAGATGTATTCAAATGTGGCTATTGAGATGATAGCTAGCACCCGTGTCCAGAGACAAAGACATTGTCACGAGACCGAGGAAGAGGGCAGAAGTCCATTGACGGCCCGAGATCGCATGAGATGCATGTGAAGCCGGTGAGGAATGGTGATTTCTTTCTCTACCAATGCTCGTCTTCCCGAGTTTGGAAAACGGGAGTTCAGTCCTGCTCCTCAGGCCTTTCCCACGCCACCACGTGGGGCTAAGTGACTTCAGGTAAGTCATGAGCCCTGCACTCTGAGTGTCTTGCCTGTCAGATGGCAGTGATGCCACCTACTTCCACCCACGTCTTAGGGTGTACAAGGATAGAAGGTGATGGCAGCTTTGATGACTTTTCGTACGTGAAACTTCTGTGATTCATGTTTCTTGCATTTTCAGAAAGAGCAGTGCCATTCCTAAGTAGGGGATGCACCTTGCTCCAAACTGAGATACAATTACATTGGGCTACTTAACACTACTAATTTTTAAAACTTCTCTTTGATTTAGCATTCCTAGAATGATGAATTATCAGAGCTACAAACAATATAACTATATTCATTTCTCTCAGTTCAAAGGCCATACTGAGCCCCTGGAGACCTGGGAGTTACACTGACCTCCAGGCTTCCACATAAATCATGCATAAGGGAAGGCACAAGTCTCAATTTCTAATATGAAATGTCCCAGACACTCCCCATGCTGTGTCTTAGATGGATTCTGATGGAATTCCATGAATGACACATTTCTGTTAAGTACCTGAGGACGCGGTCTGAGGCCTGGTTGGACTTGGACACGTCACAGCTCTGGTGTTTCTCTTGGGCCTTTGCCAGTTTTTCTGCAGCAGCAATAGGGCATCCAGAGAGGCTACAATGATAGAAAGATTTAAATTGATGGTCAGAAATGCCTTGTCACACACTGATACACCCACCACGTTTGTCTCTCAGCCAGCCAAGAAGACCCTGAGGTAGATGGAACTCAGGGAGTTTCCCAGCCTGCTTGGTACTCTGCATTCCTGGGCTCTGGCACACAGCTCTGATGGCAACAGCAGGCCTCTCCAGTGGGCATGCCAAATTCCCAGAAGCAAATGCACAACAAGCTGGTTAAAATTCCAGGCAAAGGTTCTGGAGTATCGGCCACTTCTGGAGGACGGGCAGTGGCAGCTACAGACAGTTTTTGACAAACCCGAGAGAAGCAGTCGGCTGCCTGTACCAGAAGATGGTGATCTGAGCTGATGACACAGAGACATCTACCTGCAAGGCGTTAGGGATTCTGACAGCTTAGGAAGGGAAGGAAAAAGAAAGGGAGGTGCAATAGGAACACCCCAGGACTGCATCTGCTTGTGTTTAGTAACTAGTTCAGGTAGTCAGTAGGGCAGAGGAAGCAGTGAGGCTTCTTTGTTTGAGCTGCTCCTCAGGAAAGCATGGTATCTGCATGCTGCCTCCATGTGTTCTAGGTATGTATGGCTATCTATCCAAATGCACATATGTATTGAAGCCAAAAGAAGGTACTGACACTGGGGGCTCATTGCACAGGACTGTGTGGGGATCTCCTGCATAACTGTAAGCTCCTTCAGACTTAGTACCAGAGACGGTCCACCGGGCATAGAGCTGTGATTTATTTTATTATAAACTTAACACCAGTAACCAAGCTGCTTGTTGTGACTAACCAGTCAGGCAAAAATTAAGAGAAATATTACATCTTCATGTGTTTAGGAAGAAACCTAAGCCATGGAACAAGCCTTAACAGAATCACACCCTGCTACTTCCATAAAGAAGTGATTTTTGATATCACCTGTATTCTCAGAGGACCTTGGCGTCTCTGATAATGTCTGAAGGATGGGGAAGAAAGCTGGACTTGTCACCGTCCTGAATGTGACTTTTACCATGTCTATTTTCAGCAGTAGTCCAGCTAAAGCCATTGATGTAGAGTACTGACACCACCGGTGTGCCCCGACCAGAGATTGGGACATCTGCTCACATTTTAATGATGCCCATGCTATTGGCCAAGGGATTCATCAAAATTCAAGAGCAGCCAAGTTAGTCATCAGGATTAGCCTGCTGGGTTCTAGCTCATTGTCTGTCATGTAAGTGAAAGATAGTCTCTTCCATGTGGGGAGATGATAGACCCTTGCCAGGTCTCTTCCATGTACCCTTGCCAGGTCTCTTCCATGTGGAGAGATGATAGACTCTTGCTCTCTCTCTTCTGGTCACCATCATTGTAAGCAGCTATGGCTTCCCTCTTGTGAGGAAACAGTGTTCGTTTATACCACAGATGTCAATAACTAGAGAAATCTAATCGTCAAAAAAGGACAACCACGCCTTTGACCTTCCTGTACATGGGTGCACCTGACTGACCATTTAGGAGTAATGTATGAGGTCCAACAGTCTCCTGGGGAAAGGAGAGAAGCCTGTAGCTAGCGCTCCCATGGGGGCGGGGTTGTGGATGGCTCCCTCTAGCGTACACCCCAGCAGAGTGCGGCTTACCTTCTGTGTGAGTTCCTGTTGCTATTCACATGCCCTCGCCCTGTGCAGCCCGGAGTGGGACACTTGAGAACATTTTCATGCATGGCAAGAACTTGACAAAGGAGAGGCAAAGAAAATAGCCCAGCATTAAAAGAGAGAAATGATGAGAATACAATATGCAATTGTTTTAACAGGTTAAGTTAGTTTACAAAAGACAGGCCTACAAACGTCTGTGATGTGCATGGCCAGGAAATACATGTGGGACGAGAAAGAAGGTTGTATGATTCTACTCAGGCATGCAAAGCAGGGTGCACTGGCAGGGAGCCACGGGGGTCAGAGAGCGCCGAAACTGAATAGCCCCAGTGAGACAGAAAAGCAAGGGCCACCCTAGTGTATCCGATGGGTAAGCACTGGATGCTCATCAGCCATGTAACAGCACATAGCCGGGGCGCTTTAAAGACATGCCTGTGCTTTGGAAACACATGGGGTCCTCAAACTCTGATGTGAGTGAACAGAACTTTAAACCTTGTCTTTAAAGTAAGCCATGTTTGTTTAGGAAATTAGTATCTTTTTGTGCTCTCAGTAGAATGAACAGGAATAGTAAGATCTCTGCATTTTTACCACATGAAAGCAACAATTAGGAAGATGAAAGAGATGGCCCCCAGAGCACAAGGACACTGCCTCCTGCCACCCATGAAGGCTGGTCCTCATTGACAGCTCCATCCTATGTGTCTGCTGAGACTCGTGGGGTTAGGAGTTTTGGAGAAATCAAGACAGCTAACTCCAAAGATGCCTGCTGGCTACGTGCTCTGCCTCTCTGAGCTGGGTGTCTGCAGACCCCAGTGGCCTCTGTGGCAGTCCTCCCTGCCTGCAAAGCCTGACTAGGGTCGGTGGTCATGTGAGGTCTGCTCACCCCTGTCATTTCCCCCATTACAGTGTCTTGTTGGCACTGTGTTCAGTTTCTGCATGCCCTTGTTGTACCTGGCCATGTTTAGTGTCTTATCAAGGTGGAAAAGTCAGCATTTAACTCATGTCCCGGGGGGCAGGGTCTGGGGGGGATAGGAGATCTTTTTTCTGAGGAGTCCCTGTCTCATAGGAGAATGTGCCCTCTCTTTGAAGTATGCAGTTTTCCTAGTCTTTCTACTGTCCTATTGCATTGCAAGAATGGTCCATATTTCTCTTCGCCTTACTATGTGCCTTTCCTTCTCCTTATGCTAACTATTTCTATTACAAAGTCTTCCCTGGAGAGAGCAGACACCTTCCAGCCTTTACTCTGTGGCAGAGTTCAAGTTGCTGTCTCTGAATCCTGCTTAGTGGAGTCCATACCTGTAGTGGCATCTGCTTCTTCCGTCTGCAGGCTGCGCTAGGGGCTCTGCCTCAAACCATTTCTCCACTTTAGTTTGTAGTGCTGCCCCTCACTACGTTCCTTCAATCTTTCTCTGGGGTGTCTACAGAATCTTTCAAACAGGAGGCCCAATGACCTCTATAGCTCTTCTTCCAAGGCTCCTGTTTAACCTCAGCCATGGACATCGCACCTGGAGCTTTTGAGAAATGCTCTTTTACCTGGTTTACAGATCCCCCCATTTCTTCCTTTACCTTGCCTTTTCACACAAGCCTATGTTTGGGCTCATTTCTCTCCTAGTTCATGCTTTTCCCTGGCAACTCATTCTTTTTTGTACTAGGAGTGCACACAGGGCACCACCCAGTACACCTCCTTCAGATACCCTCCCACACTGCTGTAAATCTGTCTTGTGGGTGGTAAAAGCAACTCTGGCTCAGCTGGGGTCTCTATTATCAGAACTGCCCTCTGCCGACCACTTAGTTTGCTACAGCAGAAAAGTTGCCACTGAATTCACTTGGGTGGAAATGGGCAGGGAGGCTAGTCCAGAAAAACAAATGATGCTACCCACTGTGGAGTACTTCATTTATGTATTATTTACCTTTATAGTCTGTGGTGTTATAAAGAACTACTCATGGGAAAGTAGTTAGGGTTCCTCTGTACCCCTGTGCCATGGGTACCCTTTGTGAGAAAGGGTCTCCTATCGACCAGGCTGGTGTCAAACTCAACCTTCCTGCTCCTTCCAAGTTCTCGGATTACAATCACACACCATGCCTGGCTTTAGAAATGCTGTTTTGCAGACACCTAGTTTGTAAGACCATGTCAGACCTGAGTCCTACTTTCTGCCTGCTAAGACGGGCCCACATGTGGTCAGCCAGAGCAGGCCCATTCAGTTTCGAGCTCAACAGAACACAACCCGTAATTGAACCACATCTAGACATTTCCCATCAAGAAGAATTCTTATCCATTGAAAAGGATGAATATGGAAGGTTAAAAAAAAACCTATGCCCTGGAAAAAAAAATCCCACCAACTTCCTCCTAAAGCATGAGTTCTCAGCCCTGGTGCCTCCTCTTGTACTGAGAATCTGCAACATGCCTGATGCCAGGAAGCAGGTTAGAGCTGAAACAGGAACACCAGGCCCAGGGCTTGCATTGGTGATGGGTTTGAGAGTTGGCATGGGTTTACAGCTGAGTTCAGGCCCATTAATACTTGCTCAGATGAACTTTAAAGTACTGAGCACCACCTATTGCCAGCCAGTGTGCTTCCCTTGAAAGAGAAAGAAGATGGAGTCAGATTCCCATGTTCTTCATCTGGTAAACAGGGTAGTGCTCCCTGGGAGGGTTATGGCATTGAATGGGCCAGTGCTTGCATTTGCCAGCCAAGCACCCACCACAGTGCTCACATGTGGAAGCCGCTGTTATCAACCATGCGTCTCCCTGTCATGTAACACACGGGATTGTAGACACACCTGGATTTGTTTATTTTTACAACTTTTTCATAATTGTTCTCAAGACAGTTACAGGAAACATACACATGTCATTTTAGTAGGCATCTGAGAACCTGGAGTCACAAGACCATCTGAACATATTTCAGCAGGGTGCTTAGCTTTCCCTGCTTCTAATGTTAAGCTGATATGAGAGCTGCCTGCCCTCTGACTGGTTTGCTTCTCAGGCATTCCAAAGGTGCTCATGGTAACAGCTTGGTCCTCCAAATGCCTTTGGCTATTGAGCTGGGCATCTAGTTACACCTCCTAGCTACCTTCCCCACTGGAAGCTGAAGTCTGTGCTTTGGACAACTGATTCTCTTTGATTTTACACAGTTGCTATATTTCTTGCCAAGAGAAAGGTAAACAAAAAGGACATATATCATTTTAGATGTAAAAGGAACACCGTTTTGCAGATTCATTTTCATAGCTTCATAGCCTTGGAACCTATCTTCTAGAAAGAATATGTAAAAGAAAACCCCACCAGATCCAAACCTGCTCATTTTTTTTGATATCTTTAGTGTGCAAATGCCATAGCGCCTGTGCTAGGGAACAGGCCACAGTGAATGCATACACCTGGTGTACATGCCAATTGGATAATATGCAGTAGTTCAGGAATTTGGACAGAAATCCCAAAGATTTCCTGGGATTTCTAAGACCAGTATGAGTGGGTTAGAGGCTGACTAGTTTTCTGTAATGTGTGAGACCAAGTAGAGAAATTCCCTGCCTAGGATAATGGAATAAGTAGAACTGAGGACTAGCGCCCAGGCTGACCTGGGAGCCTACTCCGGAGACACAGCTGCAGGGTGAGCTATTCTTGGGAGCTGGTACCCAGAATATCCAGAAGATGTATGGGGAGGCTTCCTGAGGTGCCCTCCAGGCGGAGAAAGGGTCTGGTCAGTGACAGCTTCACTGAGGTGTCATGAAGATGAGGTTGGGGGATGATTGACAGAGCCAGAGTGCTTGCACGCCCCGGGGAGCGGCGAGACACGACTTACTTTCTGGAGGGACCCTATCTTTGTGCGGGCATCCAGACAGACTGCGGTGATGCGGGTAAAGCCCAGTTACGTGGCCGGTTCCATCACACCCGGGGGTTGGACACTTGCTCTCTCTCTTTTCTGTTCTTGAGGGATCTAAAAGCGACAACAGGTGTCAAGAAAATGAATGTTTACCAACTGCAGACTCTGCGGTTATCCAGCAACCTGAAGAGACCTTTGCTAAAGAGAGAAATTAGGCAGGTGTCAGGGCAGGCTGGAACATCAGGCCTGTGCTTCATAGCTCTAGGTGTGGGTGGTATTTCCAACCTTGTACAGTGTAATCAGGAATCATAAATTATTTTGTTTTTTATCCAAAAGTTTAAAAAAAGCACCGGCTTCTAATCTTAACTCTTGATTAATTGGTTTCCCGTGTGTTACATGATAAGCTGTGTTGCTCAAAGAAATCAATGTAAATAAGGATGAGACAGTGACCTTCTTAGAGAACAAAGCTTCATAATTGTTTTCATTCAGCAATTTCTCCATATACTTCAACCAGAGTGAGGTGCTGCTCAGAAACCCTTCACCCGATTCCCTCTTTTACGTGCTCTGGTCTCACATGCCATAAACCGCAGAATTTGCCTGCAGACTTTTCCCTCTGAGGTTAAGCAACACTGTTTCTTAGCATAGCAATTCAGCGCTCTTTTGGAAAATCGACTGAACTCTCAGAAGGCACTGTAAGCAAATGACAGAAAGGGTGGCGATCCCACCTGGCAGGGTGATGGGCAATCAAAAAACGCTTCAGAAGCCGCTGGAGCAACCATTTGTTTTGATTTCTTCGTCTGTGCTTGGGAACCAGAGGAAGGCTCGTGTAATGCTGTGCATGCACACACAAAGTAGGAGGTCAGGCTGATCTAGAGCGCTGCCAGCTCCTCTGCAGCGCCAGCCAAGAGCCAATCAGAGCAGACGTTTGGTCCAGGATTGAATGCTGGATGCCAGAGATGTAACGATATCCTGATAGAGTTGTTTTTTTTTTTTAAACACCCAGATCAACCACAGTTCACCCTCATGCATCACAACAGTTCTAGAAATTGTTTCTGAAGGCCAGCTCAGGCTGAATTCTAAATCATAGATTGTGACACACCGTGTTGTGGAACACGTATTTGAAAACCAGTTGCTCAGGTCACCAATAGTAGCTATTACGTTTGCTTCAGCGAATGCTAGAGTTAAGTTTTCACTAGTTTAATTCTTTTATATGAATAACTTATTAATTGGGCCAATCATACTAGAAAATAATGCTCTACTTTGGTTAATATTTATATCAAGAAAAAATATCTTGAGTTTGAAGTTTATTTGCTTAGGTCTTTGAGATAGAATGTCACCCTGTAATCCAAATTGGTCTGGAACTCAACTTTGTAGCTCAGTTTGGCTTTAAACTCAGGGTACTATTCCTGCCTTAGTCTCTTAAATACTGGGATTGCAATCATGAATCACGATACGTGGCTTGATTTTGAAGTTTTTGAACTCTTACTGGCCTTACTGTGTTCCTTACAAGCATGATAGATAAACAACTCCCAGGATCTTCCAAATGGTCTCCTGTTGAAGCGAAGGGCATCCCCTTTCTTTTTCTGTGAACATAGCATCTACATAATGTTCCTGTCAGGTGCTAGAACCACCCCAGTCAGCACTGGTGTGGAACAAAATGCTGGGCATTGCCAACTGCTGTCCTAACCCTACACTTGCCTCATGGCCTCTGCCAACAAACTCAAGAGTAAGTCCTGACATTTCTTTTCTATAGATACAAAGTAAAGCCTAACATTTTGTTGCTCTTTGAGTAATTTCATTATACTGAGAGAAGTTAATCCATGTCATTATAAAATAGTAATCACACAGTAACAATTTCAAAGGACAGCAGTGACAATTTAAAATAATTAATTGAAGAGATTTTTAACTAGATAGTAATGACTTTTACAGGATTAAAAAATTACAACTGTTACTATTCCCTTTCATCATAAAGTAACTGCTTCATTAGGACCCCAATGTCTGTTACAAATAACATGGTTTCACAGATTTTGAAGCAGTTTTGAAATTAAGTGACGTTTATGCTTTAAAAATGGCCCAGAACTCTCTTGGGGTATAGAGACTGGAAGAGCGCAGTGTGCTCTCAGTGCGTGGCTGAGAGGGGGCCTGCCATTGCCTTCACTGTCTCTTTCCCTTGATTCCTTGTCTCTTGCAATCCAAGTTCATCTTTCAAACAGGAAACAACGAAACAAACACAAAACACGGGCACCCAAATTAGAAACCTTGCAATGACTTAACAGAAAAAAAAAAGTGTGCTCACTTCAGCTTATTCCCCTTTTGCCCTGGAGGGTGTGTGTGTGTGTGTGTGTGTGTGTGTGTGTGTGTGTGTGTGTATGTGGAAGGCAAAGGAGCTAGCCTTTGAAGTGTTGCTCATTAGTACCTTAATGAAGTCCTTTCAGTTAAGATGTCTGGAATGAGAATAGGTATATGTGTTCTCTTATCTTTACAGAAGGAAGAGAGAAGCCTCAATCCAGCATCTTGATGCGATGGGCAGCTTCAGGCATGTTGGTGAGATATGATCCCACAACTTGAGTTTTTTTTTTTTTTTTTTAGAGGGTTTTTTTATCTTTTTTCCCCTTTTTTTTTTTTTTTTTTTTTTGTGTGTGTGTGTGTGTGTGTGTTAGTTTGGCTTTGACTCTGAATGCAACTATAGTTATAGTCAAGAAAACATGAAAAATGTTGTTGGAAAATGCTGAGAACTTTGGTCAGAAGTAAAGTTGGGAACCGAGAGAAGTGGTTACCAGTGCCTTCAACTTCATGAGAAAATGCATGCTCCCAGCCTTAGCATTCACTTCCCCTTCCTCATGTAGGGGAAGAAGCAGTCAGGGCAAATTCCACATTTTTGCATAAAAGCAACATAATAGCAAACAGAAAGAGCTGTGTGTTCGGTGGATTACACAAACCAGTGAAGCCACGGTGATGCAGAGACTCTCGTGTGTAATTCGCCTCCACACATGGTCACTTGCTGTACTTCTCAAGACCAGAGTTCATCCTGGGACTACTACTTAGAATTCTAAAGCACGAGCCTAAAATATATCTGAACAACAGCAGTCATGTGGGGAGGCATAACTTTTCTAAAATTGTTTGATTTTTATCATTCTCAATATCCAACTAAATATCTTTTAATTGGGGCCAGATGGTGGTGGTGCATACCTTTAATCCCAGCACTTGGGAGGCAGAGGCAAGTGCATCTCTGTGAGTTCATGGTCAGGCTGGTCTACAAAAGCTAAAGACCTAGTTCTAGGATAGCTGGGGCTGTTGCCCTGAGAAACCCTGTCTTGAAAAACCAAAAAAAAAAAAAAAAAAGAAAAAAGAAAGAAAAAAATAAACAAAACTTCTTAATTGTTATAAGTTTATCACATCTTATTCAAATGGTAGCGCTATCATTTAAACTCATGTGCCCCGTTCCATAATGTTTTAAGGAAAGCCTGAGGCTCAATGGCACCAGAATAATCTATTTCCTCTAGAAAGGAATGTCTTCTTGTATACACTCCTCTGGTGGTCTGTGCTTGCCTTTGTAACGGAATGGAAAGCCCATATTCATCCAGGCACTAGTCAACCAGGAACTCTCAGAGCTCTGGCTAAGGCTTCTGCCAGCTTGGACTTGGTCATAGCCATGCCCAACTGTCCATGGAGCTATGAGCACACACCTGTGCCACGATAGGGATGACAGAGTTTTTCTGATTGTTCAGCAACTGATTTTCAAACTGAATTCCTGAATCTCATGATCAGATTCATAGTGAGGAAACTGTATATTCATAATGTACAGAACAAAATGAAAAGCAGGAAAAGGAACATTTTGGTGATAATACAGAAAGGATTTAAGGAACTAGCAATTTCATTTTTGAGACAGTTTCTTTCATAGTTCTGAGCCTTGTGAGGAATCAACCATACTGAAGTGCTTTACTCTGTGAAGCTAAGTCAAGACTTGCACCAACTGCGGATGGATACAGACACTGCCATGGACACAAAGTCGCCCCATCAGGTAAGTTATGTATGTCGGCAAATATGTGCTCCCTGATATCATAAGTTAAAATTCAGTTAAACAGTCATGGGATAGTTTTAAGAATTTTTTTTAAAAAAAATAATACACAATATTTGAAAACAGAGGCTCGACTGTTTCCCCAAGTTAATGGGACTAGTAAGGAAAATAAGCATTCTGGGGAAATTACTGTTGGTTTCAGCCATTACTGCTCCCTGCCTTGCATGGCAACTAATTTCCTGAGTGAACTGTCATAGAGAATTCACGTGCAGCCACTATGCCCATCCTAGATCATTGGTCATTGTGCTGCTGTTCAGTTTCTTCTGGGCATTTCCTGTGGGGCCAGTTCCATCAGTAACTGTCACTACGTGATAATTTTATAAGTCACGAAGCCATCTACTCAGTCCAGTTTATGAGTACAGTGCCTCGTCTCTGATTGACGAATGGTTGCCTAAACCCTGCCCCTATTCAGCATAGATCATGGTTCCTCTGTAACAGCATAGCCTGGCCCCAATGGTCTCTCTCCTAGGGGTTTCCGTCGCACTAGCCCTGTCTTCTCCAGGAATGCTCTTTCCCCCTGTCATCCTTCCACCTGCTCTAATGGCAGTGCCCTTAGTTGTTTTATGTATTTCTCAGACAAATATTTTATTTGTTCTATAGACAAAGTATCAGAGATACAGTTCTAGAATATACTCTAAAATGTGCATTAGACATAAAATTGGTAGTGATTTATAGTACAACAGACTATCATCAGCATTTCTCACTTAGCTCACATTTGCCTGAAGCGACTTACGGTAGGTAGAAATATTACCTTTACCATAGTATGGCTTTTTGACATGGCTGTCACTGGATTTGGATTTTCTGTCTTCACCAGCCAGCTGTCTTGGAGACTGGTCCTCATAGGATCTCAGGTTATCCCTTCTCCCAGCGTCCATGGCCATCTTCTCCCTCATGGCCTTGGCTCTCTCTGTCTCCAAGGCAATGGCTTTCTCTAGCAGAGTCAGGTTGCCCTTGGTCATGTCAAATACCTCCTCAGACCTGTCTGAGTTCACTGAGGTGGTGTCATCATCCCTCTCATGACACCCATCCTCCTTGGCACAGCTGGAGAACGTTCTAGACCTGGGGCTGAGCTGCTCCTCCAGCCTCATAAGGTTCATCATATCTGAGTAGCTCCTGTCTGGTGTCCTCCCAGGGAAGTCATCCTCTTGCCGGACATGTTGGCGCACACTCATGTTGGGTGGCTGACTCCTGTCCTGTGGGTTGGTCTCGCTGAGTTTCCTGGCCAGGTCAAAGCACTGGTTCCTCAGACACTCCAGACTACTTAGACACACCTCCTCATCACTCTCCTCCACCATCTTCTCCATGAGCCCATTGTTCATGGGCTTCCCTAGCATGACGTAGTTCATATTTCTACTGTCTTGCTGGGACATTCCCTCAGCATAACTTCTGTCACCAATGTTCTCTGCTAGCACAACACCATGTCCTTGTGCTAGCAGCTTAAGGGAGTCCACTGTTTCTCTGACAACATCACTGTCCAAATCTAGGCTCAGTTCGCTTTTCCGACCGAGGTTTTCATTTTTGTCGCTATCGTCCTCCAAGCTATTGGAGGTGTTGCTGTTCATCTCTGACTCAGTCCTGGCTCGGTATGCTGCATCCTCAGCAATTTTGCCAAGATTTAACAGTGACTTGGCCACCAGTTCATCGTAGTTATCATACTCGTCGTTGTTGTTGTCGTCCTTTTCTGTGTCCTGCAGTATTCGAGTACAGCTCATTTGATGGTCGTCTGCAAAGGAATAGAGAAGACAAAAAGGAAGAGAGAAACGTGGCTAGACTCTGAACATTATTGCCAAAGCATGGACAGCAAGCTCACATCAGGTTCAGTCCTGCTTTCCCTAGGAGGGAACCTTACAAGACACCTGCTGCTTGGTAGAAAATATAAACATAAAGCAACTGAATCATGATAAAGACCAGGAGGCCACTTAAGATAGGCCCAGAGTGCTATAAACTTCTTCAGTTAATCTTAAAGTTACCCACTACATGAAATAAATATAATGTAAAAATAAATATTTTTGATTTTTAATATTCTAACCTACCATCTTCATTGGCTGTATTCACAGCCAACAGTTGGCTACCAATTACATATCTCAAAACACCGAGCTTTCTAAAAGTTCCTGAGCTTTCCTACTTGCTTACACTTAGTGGTTCTCTGTAACCTTTAAGTGGTTCGTTTCCTATCATATTTCGGTGACATAGAGCACAGCCTCAGACTGCTGAAGTCACACAGACGGAGACCCTGTTAGGAAGTTCTGGTCATGAGAACACTGAATTGAGTAGTATGAACGCGATAGCTTCTAGCCAATGTGTTGAGACCCACAGTGAAGTGGTAGGAGCTCCATATGAACGTGAGGGAGGAAGAGGAAAGAGGCTTCCTTTATGGATAAGTTAGGCATGCACAGTGAGTGACCACATGTCACTGGATCAGACGGCCCTGTTTAACTGTGACTCTCACAATCCATCATTTAATTTGACCTATGGTGATAATATATTCACCCATCTCATCAGCTTGAAGAAATTTGAATAAGATGTACTCAACCTCAAATATACTTAGAGAAAATGTTTTCTAAAGTTCATGTTAAGCATGACGTAAACCCCTCTATTTCATCAGAAACCCATTTGCGTTCACTTAGAAAGCCGTTTGGATTTGAGTCTCTATTCACAAGTCTACACAACTGCTGTCATCTGCATTGTGAGACATAGATAATAATAAATGAGTTTTCAAATGTGTCCCCCTTTGGCTGGATGGTTAATGGATGCCATTTCACATCTGTCCTGTGTTTTCATGATTCAAATGCCAGAGAACTTTCAGACTTTGATAATGACTTGGAGGAATGAGGCGTATCGACTAGCTGCAAACAGCAGCTGACTAAAGCTGAGCTACTGATCCTCTGCTGCTTTCGTTATGGATTTTATGCAGAAAAGGTTCATGTTAGAAAAAGAGATTTGGAGCTCAATATAGCAATAACTGAAAATAACATCCCACCTGGAGTCAACAGATACTTGGGCTCTGACCCACTCTCTAAACATCAGCGTGTGTTAGCTAGAGGACGGCAGTTGCTGCATGAACTAGATTTCGTCTCTCTGGACTCCAGCCTCTTCATTTCACCACACTCTGCCTGAGCCATTTCCCTTATTAGAAGTATAAAACTGTCACAAAGAGCAGCGAAAAGAAACAACCTAGAACTAGCAACCATAACCACAAATGTGACAAAGCTAATCACAGATGCACACCTTGCTGCTGCCTGGCCTCGCAGCTCTGGAAAGCTAAGTACATCTTGTCCTCATGACTCTGGAAATGTGATTTTTATATTTCCCTTCTGATTTATACACGTTTTTATGTTCATGGGCTATAACTAGATCATACTTGGGAACGACAAAGCTATTCTACCCATACACAGCAATTGTGATAGTTTGGGTAATTTCACTATTACCTATAGAGTATCAACCAGATGAATTTGTAAGCCACAGTTTGGAAGTGGAGAATATGTGCCATGAGTTGAAACACTAAAAACATAAAAGTTATACTTTGTGTGTGTGTGTGTGTGTGTGTGTGTGTGTGTGTGTGTGTTTGACTACATTTTGATACATGTGCCACAGTGTATGTGTGAAGGTTGAAGACAGTGTGAGAAATTCCTTTCCTTCACCCACATGGAAATTCAGCTGGTAAAGTGCTTACCATGCCAATAGAAGAATCTCAATTTGATTCTCAGCTCCACATAAAAGCCCAGTATGGTGGCATGTGCCTGTAATCCCAGCACCTGAGGAGGTGGAGACAGGAGGATCCCTGGTGCTTGCTGGCCAGCCAGCCTTCCCTAATCAGTGACCCCCAAATTCAATGGCAGACCATGTCTTAAATATAAGATGGAAAGTCTCAGAGGAAGATACCTTATGTTGTCCTCTGGTTGCCATATGTTCATGCAATGTTCATGTATACCTGCACATACATGTGCACCCACACAGACAAACAGACAGACAGATACACACACACACAAGAAGGGAGTCACTGAATGTAATAATCAGGGCAAAAAACATCCTGCCTAATCCCTGTTACTGTATCTAAACTCAAAAATGAAGTCTGCTCTGGAAAAGGACAGGGCTGTCACGAGTCTTTCCTCCCAAATGTGGCAGATGTAATGCTGTCGATTCTCCATTTACACATCTCAGGAAGGTCCTCAGTTGTCTGCTGTTTGTTTTGCCTGTCCTTCTTTCCACATGACATGGCTAAGGAGTGCCTCTTATGACCAATCTGTCACCTTTTCCCAAGAAGATGAAAAAAGACAGTATCCCAGCCTTGCAGACCCATGAAACTGAGGAACTGAAGACAGGGTTAGTTGCTTCCCTGCCTGAGTACCAGAAATGTGCCAGGCATTCTCCAGCATAGGTGTCAGGCTGCTCCTCACAGGGACGTGTGCTGGGGGAACACTGGGGATGCTCTAGTGGCCTTGAGAGGCAGATTTGAAATAGGAAGTTATGCAACTGGCCCCATCACTCTCTTGCCACTTAGTGATTGTGTGAGGGCAGTGACCTTTCAAGAGCTGTAACGAGCTCATCTGTAAGGCAGGGATAATTATCTGCCTGGCCGCTCCTGGCAAGTTCCTACAAGCCCCAGGGTGAGGCACACAGACTATGTGTATTTCAAATGCCTGGCATGGATGGTATTGTTTTGCGGCATCTCTCCAAGAGCAGATGCCTGGAGAAACTTGCCTCTTCGGGGATGATGTCTGGACACAGGCAGTAGGGAATGCATGTGAAGACAAAGCCTGCTGTGGTTGGTTTTTCCCTTTTCTTAAGTTACTAACGCTCAGTGTCATCAGAGGCCTCATGAGTGAGAGCAGCGGATGTGGAAATGGTTGGAAGATGATATTGAGGCCAAAATCCTTCCAGGTAAATAGAATTCCAGTGTTTAAGGCATTGCCTAAAGTAAACTCCTAATTATATGGGCTAATGGAGGGAAACAGGCTCCATGTGTCATCAGCAAATAGGTTCTGAACACATGCTCTGTCTCAGCCTTGCCTGTCATGGTGAGCATTTAGAATTCAGTGTCTGGTTTTCCATATTTAGACAATTTACTACTATCTAGTTGTGTTTCTGCTGAGACTAGCATCGAAAAGACCCCATCATAGCTAAGCTATGAGCTTTGGCAAATGGTCTAGAATTTTTCTATACCAGTCAGGGACTAGAAATGTGGTATAAACATTCTGGCTCATAAAACTTTCAGAAGTCAATATTACTTGTTTCTATCTAGTGATTAATGTTCTCTCAAAGAAGAGGGATGTATTTGTGATGAACAAAGCATTTTCCAGAAAATAAATGCTCATGTTTCTGTCCTAAGTAAACAGTAGGAACATGAATACCAATGTGTGTGGAGATTATGTCATGCTACATTCCCTCTGTATACTGTGCTTGGGATTTGTCATTGCACAGAGCCCGTAGGGCTAGGCTGAGACCAGGCACTGCCTCTCGACCTGTCCAGCCCCAGGTATTCCCTGCTGAATCCCAGAGTCTTCATGTGAGACTGGAAATCAGAGCAGTTTGGGTTGATCCACTCCTAACTGATGGAGATGAGCCTGCAGGTAGAGGTGCTTTTGTGACTGAGTTCAGGAGCACTGCCCACGTGATCACCAGCTTCGCTGCTAACTGCTGTGACGTGTGATTTTGAGCCCCGTGAAGGCTTTATGAATGTTGTGGCTGCAACTCCCCTCTTTTAAGTCTGACCACTAGCAAGATTTTAGACCACACAGAATCGCATAGTTGGGAGGTTTATCCTAGAATTACTGGAACCTCATAGACTAGTTTTGTGGTAATTTGTCTCTAAAACACATGTCTGAGATACAACTTTTTCAATATTTGGTACTGATAAAGCCACATGAATACACATTATACACACCCACATCACATCTTATGGACAGTAAAGAACAAGGTGTGTGTGTGTGTGTGTGTGTGTGTCTGTGTGTCTGTGTGTCTGTGTGTCTAGCCAATGGAATTCAGAACCCAAAGCCCAGTCTTATGGTGGTAGAGGTCTGTTTGTCCTTCCTGATCCTCATAGAGACCCCAGGAAAGGCTCTTCAATGGTTACTACTTCCGAAAGGCAACCACAGAAGACTGCAAGTCACACGTGTTCAAGTGACAGAGTTAAGAGACCATGCTGGGATGCTGTGCATGATTGCTTTACCAGTCTTCTGCACTGCTTGTTTCCATAGCAACCAGACTGCAGTCTTCTTGGAAGAGGAGCCCAGTGGGCTTGGTGCAGACTAGCAGCTAGACACCCATCTCCTTCTCGGCAGATGAGGCTGGTCTCTGCTGTAAGCCCCCACCCCAGGTGACTGCTGCTAGTCTCAGCATCTGCCTTCTGGCATTCTCCCCCTTTGACACTCCTCCCTAGCCTCTCAGGGACTGAGGACATATTTCAATGACCAGCCTTTGATATTTGTGCTAGGCTTGCCAGCTCAGCTAGCCTGCCACCGGCCAGCATCTTGACTAAGGCAGTTTAGGTCTATTCTGGGTTGGAAAGGTGTATTTTTTTCATTGCTGCGACCAAATACTTGATGGAACCACGGTAAGGGAAAACGGATTTGTTTTGACTCATAATCAAGAGGATGCAGTCTTTTATGCAAGAGGTTGGCAGAGTCCATAGCGGTGAACACGGTGCTGCACAAACGAGGAAGCAGAGGGCAGAGAGTGCTGGTGTTCACCTGGCTTTTTGTTTGCTTTATCCTTCCCATGCGTTCATTTAGTCCAGGACTCTAGCAGCCTATGAGATGTCCCCAGCCCCACATTTAGGGTAGATCTTCTCTCCTTTTTTTTAAAGAACTCTGAAAACTCTCTCAAAGATAGACCCAGAGTCTGTCTCCTAGAAAATCCTCAAGTGAAAATGAAGAGTCATCATCGCCAGAGATTAGAAAATTAGATATTGCCTGTACTCTGGATGGACAGTTAAGGTGGCCCCGGGCTAACCTGGGCTAACAAGTGAGATAGGAGAGCTTGTGAGATGCACTTAAAGAGGCTAACCATGGGCAGATCCTGACTGCCCATAATTCTGCTAACTATAACCCCAAGAGCTCACGTCACACACAAGCGCACACATGTGCGCACGCACACACACACACACAGACAGACACACACACACACATACACACCACACACACACACACACACACACACACACCCCACTTCTTCAGAGCAGACTAGGATCACCATGTATCTCTCTGCTCTCTGGCCTCCCTTCCCTCACTGGGCGGCACATGTGGCATCTCCCTAGATGGTAGGAGAGAAGCTGTCCTCTATCCCTCTGCTGTTCAGTATTAAAGGTCACTATTTTCAGAACCCCAGATTCTGAGTTTAATGGACAGTGCCCACCCTCTTGGCAAACCTGCAATGGGGGCCAGAATAGATTCTGGAAGCATTGTTTCTTTTAATTCAGTCCCATCCAGGATCTTAGCACCTTGCCCTTAACCAAGTACTTCCCATCCTGGACAGATTAACAGGTCTAAACAACGCCTCAGGAGCTTTTATATATAAAAGCCTTCTAGATCAAGAAGAAGGGTGGGAATGGGACAGTGAGGCAAGGACGTGTCACTATAGCCAGATGGTACTAACTGTGGTCACCATACTCACACTCACAACTGTCCTGAGTCCCAATTATATCTACTTCACAGTGTTGCTGTTTGCTTTGTTACTGGTGTTGTAAGAAACATTGTATATTCATAGAAGGACTAACATAAAGCTACTAGAATCCTTCCTACTGAATTACGTTTGGAGAAAGGCAGGTACCCATTTGTCATCAGTATGACAAACAGCAGTGTCTCCAGCTTCCCCCGACTTTCCTACATCGTCCCCCCATCATAGATACATGTCTTTATAGATATGTCTGTTACTTTCCACACTTGCAGATAGCCTGAGGTTTGCAGAACAGGATTAGCTCAAACACTCATCACCAAACTTGGGCTTTCCTACCTTTCTCCAGACTCCCCAAGCCCCAAGTGGTAGTTCCTATCTGAGCAATATCCTTCAGAGGGCCACATGGGCTGAATAGGTGACAATCAGAAGAGGGGCAAGCATTATGGGATAGGGTGAAAACCCTGAAGCAGTGAGCCATGGAAGGGAAGAGACTCTGGAGGTTTGTTTTCAGATAGCAATAAAATGTGTTCTCTCTTCAAGTTGTTGCAAGTGAGTGATGGATACTTGCGTCTGGTTTTCTATAGTCAGTGAAGTTTATATGGTTCAGTGGGACTTTTAAAAACAAATGTAAATAGGACCTTTTAATAGCGATACCTCCCTATCAATTAACTGTATGGGTTGATAGGGGTAAGAGATGTGACATTTACAGACACCAGTGGCTTTGCCTTCTTTCGGAAGCATACACTATAATCCGTCCATGTCTGACATTATCACTGAAAGGGAAGATGACACATGCTTCTGGGTCCCACTTTTGAAGCTCTTGCCTCTCAAGACTAAAGGTTCTTACGATACAGTTGATCCCACTCAACAGGAGCCACCTTATATCACCTCAGGAGCCTCCCTGTCCCCAGCTGCCCCTGACAAGGACACACAAAAGGTATCTGGGGAGGGCAGCATGAAACTGCCAGAATCCTCAACATAGGTGCAATCCCAGTCTCTGGAGCTCCTGCTCCCTTGTACCTGCTATACAGCAGCTCCTTCCCATGAGCCTTTGCTTTTGTTGCTGCTAAATCCTGGGACAATTGCTACAAGTGAGTGTTCAGCCTCTTCTGAAAGCTGTGTTCCCACTTTCCTCTCCATCCTCCTAGTGTCCGCACACTGAAAACCTGAGCTCTGTGCCTGAAGATATGCACACTCGGTATTTGATTTTGTTTATTCCTTGGCTGTGTGCACTTTGCTGTCAATCCAACCTTATAAATCAATCTAACTTGTGGCGTGACTAATGCCTCTGACACTCCTGAACAAGGTCTGACATGGTCTTGCATTGCTTCTCAATTCAGTACCAAGGGAACACAGACTGGCTCATAACTGCCTATTTGTGATACCTTCCTCGGTATCACACCGTCCACTGAGTCACCTGCTCAGAAATGATCCTGGTTCCTAACATTGTCTTAAATGTTATATTTACATCTTTTTCAAATAGACATATTATATATATATATTATATTTCTATTTTCACCCTAAAGGAAGTAAGAAGCTAGAGGTTTCCCCAAACTCTCCAAGATGCTAAGGTGCTAGCAGCTCAGTTGGCCATTGGAACATACCTCTCACAGAAATAGTCCGACCCAGGAAACCAAGGTATGGAGAGAATAAAGGCTACCTATGATAAAGAGATGTCTGTGGTGTTCTAGCAGTCATTCATTAACCCCAACTAAATACTGGCACTCCCAGGGTTCCTCATTAAACAGAAACAGGTAAAGCCTTTGGGAAGGGCATCAGCCTTCTTCCCAAATTGAAGATAAATATTGTGGTTGTCACATTTTGCATAAACCAATCCTGGTTTACTACATGGGGGATACCCCACATTAATACGAATCTAGAGGTCACATTTAGAACTCAACAGTGAAATAAAAAGAATATCTTTGTAGTCCCAGAAGTTGCAGTTGGTGAAAAACCCAGGAAAGACAGAGTATGATATCAGGATGCTGCATGCTCTGAACAATGGAGCTGAATGGGGACACGGGGAAGACGGGAGCCTGAGTGGGAGGATGAGGGCAGTTCTCCTGAGAAAGGAGACCTTTGCCAGAGGCCAGGAGTATGATAAACAGGAAGTGCCAGTTTTTTCAAGGCTGAAGAAAAGCCAAGACGGCCATGGCCTATGCAGTGTGTGAAAAAGTGGGCATTGAGGATGGGGACATGGCCAGGACCTGCCTATAGACAAGGTCGACCCCAGTCTTAGATGCCTTTTCCTGAAGTCTGGAAAGGTGGCTGTGTCTTATAAGTGCTGGGAGCAGTGGTCCCAACAACCTTGAGCTGGGACACCTACCACGTTTTGCCCTAGGAGGTGGCAGTTTCCTAGGGCCCCCGATGTAGTTTGATACCCCTCTGCAGTCCCTTCACCATTTATTGCCCTACAGATGAGGGAAGTCATCCAACGAGAATTTCCAGTCCTTTGACTCAAGGTCATAAGGCTGGCCATGCATCTTGCATCCTGAGTCATAGTGGTCTGGGTCCCAACCTTGCTATTGGTGTTTCCTCTGACTTTTCCCAGGCTGATAAGTTTCTTCTGCAGTTTATGAACCATGGGAGGGAGGGCCACCGAAGCTACAGGACCCAACCCTTGGCATCCTAGTTTCACACTCAGACACACTGAGTCTAGGACACTAGATCAGTGTAGAGGAACAGAGGAATAAGGCTTCCTACAGGGAATGGCAACCTGTAGGTTGCTTGAACTCCTGCCTTTACCTGCTGAGTTCTGAGGTAGCAGGCTTGTGCCACCCTTTCCAGGTTATATGGTGGTAGTCACTGAACTCAGGGCTCTATAAATCCTAGGCAAGTCTCCTACCAACTGTATCCCCCTATTGATTGTCCATGTTGTAAGTAAAACAACATTTCCTATATAACAAAATGAGGTAGATTGAAAGAGAAATTGGTATTTCTCTTTCTCACAACCAAGTCACTTTTAACTTAGGAACTGTGAACTGTGTTTCTTTCTTGAAGTTTTCATTCATTAAGGAACTAAATTAACAGAATGTGAATGAAATTTCATTTATTCATAAAGTTTTGAGGAACTGCTTAATAACATTTAGGCACTGGCTTATCAAGATCTGAGGATTTAAAATTAGTAGGATAATCACATTCTCCCAATCCATGAGCTCGCTGAGATGGTGGTGACATACTGACCAACTCCTCCTCTGACTTGGTGTCTCTTTCCATCTCATCTTCTTCCTGTTTTTGTCCTCCTGTCTCTGTTTGTGTCTCTCAGCCTTGCCAGTCTTTGTTTGTGCCTCTTCCTTACCACCTGTCTGTTTGCCTCTCTTTTCTTCAGGGCGGAGTGTAAAGTTAACTGGCCAGTCTTGGGCACTGCTTTCCTGCAGAGCAGGTGTCAGCGTGACTGTACCTGACTGTGTATCCTAGTGAAGGGGTAGGTGTGAAAATCCTACCCCGTCTGTCTCCAGAGCAGGGCTGAGGTAAGTGTGCTTCTTACATAATTGTGGTGGTCTAGGAGGGAACTCTGGGTCTTCCCTTCCTCCTTTCTGACTCACTTCCAAGGGGCCCTACAGAGGTCACTTTTCTCTGCAATATGAGGTTTACTGATCCCCAGCAGCTACCTAGGTTCCTGTCTTCAGTCTGAATTCTCAAAACTACCACTTCAATGCACAAAGCTCAATTCTGTGTTTTTCCTGGCCTGTATATTGCTCCTGCTTATTTTACTCAGTCTTTATTTTAAAAGAAAGAAAGAAAGAAAGAAAACAAACAAAAGAAAAGACCCTAACTTGAACAAAAGCTTCAGCTAGCCCAGTCCCTTTGAGTATATGGGAAGCACATACTGCATTTGGACTGCAGTTAGTCATCCTGAGACCTTGTCCTGACACAGCCTTAGCAGACAGCAGTGTTACTCAGTGCCTGTCTCTTTGGCACACCCTTCCTACTTTGGAGCTAAGGGGGATGATCCTGCACACTGATTCCCCCGGGGCAGAGCAGGCTTGCGGCATGAGGCATGACTGGATCAGGCTCCAGGTTCCAGACTGATGCAGAACTGAGTAAACTCAGGGGAAATTGTCATGTAGTACCTTTGATCATGGCTGCAGCATCCTAGCTGCAGACAGGTCAGACTTGAGAGCGAGAGCTCTTTTGTGTCTTGTGCTTGCTTTATGTTGCATAGCAAGACAGGGAGAGAATGAAGGGCTGAGCCTAAGAGGCTGGATGACCTTCTCAAGATGAGTTACACGGGCCGAGCTGGGATCCCCTATCCAAGTGCCATGCTTCCCTGCGGCTGCACAACACTTAGGATAAAAATTAAATCAACAAGACACACCAAATTCACTGCTGATTCTCAACAGTGGACTTTAGAAGAAGCCGTGTGACATTCTGTTTTCATTACTGCAGAAAAGGCTAGTCTCCTGCACTTCACACACATGTTTGCGTCTTAAGGGTAGGAAGCATTACGTCTTCAGATTTGCCCCAAAGTATTCAAACAGTCACAAAATTTGATGTAGTTTCTTTTATAATTACGCAAAAACTAGTTGACATGAAGCTGGATTTTTTCTTTTATTATGGACGCACAGTTAGAAAAATCCTACTTGAGGCTAAAGGCTTCCTCATTCTCAAGCCACAGCATCATCTACCTCAATGTACGTGCACTCCCAGTATCCCCACAGAAGACTTTTGTGTATATTGGGAAGGCTAATTTTAAGAAGATAAAATCCACCATATTCATTTTCCCAACTGTGACCACAGCCTTCCTCAGGTGAAGCCTTGCATACTAAACACATCCTCTCTGTGCTGTGCTGGTCTCAGAACTCATTGCTTTTTCTGCTGACTTCAGTAGAACACTGACTGGCTAATTCTGATTTTCACAGTCTGTCTGCATTTCAGCTTGCTTCCCTCATCAGGGACCTGTCCCTGGGAAAGATACAGAAGGATAATTGGCTAATCAATATGGAGAGCAGCACCCTGAGGGGAAACTGGGGAGTTGTGGGGCCTCAGTGCCGACCGCTCAGCACCTTTATCCTCTCCCCTCCTGACCACACCAGCCACTGCCTCACCCGTGATCAGAACGTGAGTGCAAGTGGGGGGCCTTTCACATTTTGGAAGAAAACACACCCCAGGAAATCTCACAGTTAGAAAGATGCTTCTGTGAGGAAGAATACATACAGAACTGTCATTGAACTGGACTTACTGAAGAGTGGAATCACCCAGTAAAGACAATCTCATGGACAGGGCTATTGTTTCATAGTAAGGACTGTGAGAACAGGGTCCCAAATCAGAATCTGCCACTGGTGTGGACTGCTATTCCCCCAGCTGCTTCAAGGACAGCAGAGGAGGCTGAATTGCTCTAACAAAAGCAGCCCCTCCTACTTTGCCTCCACGCTATGTGTTTTCATTCTGCCTGGCTTTGAACAACTGTCTAGCCTATTAGAGAAGGCACTCAATATCAGGATTCACAACAATCCATTCCTCAGAAAGCTTGCAAGGATACCACACCCTGACATGGGATACAAAGGCTGGGTTACCCGAACTGAAGAGGAACCTGCAGTGATGGACCCACTGATTGTGGGGACAACCTTGCAGATTTCAGGGTTTAGGGCAGTTCTGAGATGCCAGAGGCAGGTGTCTCTTGGGAACCCCAGCATTTTAGCAGTAGCCACAGTGGAGCATTTAAAGTAAGGAGGGTAGTAGTTTGGTCTTATTCAGTCTAGACCACACACAGCCTAGTTCTTCCTCAGAGAATTCACCTTCCTGTCTATGGGAAGATGAAACGTGGCTTCAAAAGGACAAGCATAAATGTATATATGAAATACATATGCATATCTGCCTATGATTTTTTAAATGGCCTTTTTTGTGGATGGAGTATGGAAATAAACCATACCTTATGTGTATTGTCTATGCAATGAATTTTTTTTCTCATCATAGTGATCCTGAAAGACCTTTGACCATAGTATGTGCCAAATCTGTTAATAATGACTCTATGGCCACAGAGTTGTAGTTCCCCTTTAGGATAGATAATTGGTACCTAATAAACATGAAATTGGATCGTTGCTGTGCATTTTGAAAATAAGACTGTGCAAGAGACTAGCCTGTGATTTGTCTACTTTATAAAATATACATTCCTTTTTAAAATAAATGCCACACTCACAGGATGCTTAGTGTCAGGCCAATTTAGTTTACGTCTAACTACAATGCTCAAAGATCTTTGAAATAAAATACTTAATCCCCATGTTCTAAATAATGTGTCTTCAACATTCAGTGGACTCCTTTCATAATAATCTGATGATTTGTGTAAATGTAATTTATCAGAAACAAAGTAAACACATTTCAAATTATAGCCAAGAGATAATTTCTCCTGTGTGGATACAGTTATCAGCACAGATAACCTGAAGCTTCCTGCCTGGTCCCCAGGCTGATGCCAGGTCAGATTTTCTCCCTGACTTCCTCACACTGTATGTCATTGCTCTGCTGGCATTTGTCCAGACTGTGTCCGAATCATGACCTAAGCATGGGCTACTTACGATCGCCTCGTGACATTCTCTGTTCCCTATGCTTCTCACTTGAGGTCACAGTCTGTACCTAGATGGCAGGAATGAGGCCCAGCCAACCTCAGAGGAGTCTGCTGCCGCTTCAGCCTGTGATGGGGCTGTGATGTCAACCAAGGGACATCAAGACAAAAGCCAGCACTAAGAGACTGCGACCAGCACTAAAAAATAGTGGCTTTTGCATACTGCATGAATTTTGCATTCACTGTGCTTCCCAGACATGTGGTAGAGCTATCCTGTGGCAAGCTTGCATTTACCGATTGAGATTTTGGCACAGACTTCCACAGTATGGTAAAAATAGGGCGTGCCTGGTGAGGAAATGAAGATAGGAGACTGATGGATTTCTGCCTCTCAAAGCCTCATTTTAACAGTGTGAGCACAAATAAGAGTCTGATCATGCTGAACAGCTGGCCTATCAACTAAGCTCTGGTTTTCCTTTGATAAAGATTCCTGACCCTGGCAGGTTTGGAAATACCTGGGATGGGAAGCACTGGGCATCACTGCCTAATGCTAGTTAAACGGTGTCTTGGGACACTAGCTCACAGGCTCTGCAGTGGAGACTTCTCCCTACGACAGAAGCGTAGGAGGGGTTCTCCAGGAACTTTGCTCACAAAGCTGGGCTATAGTGCGGTCCACTAATAGTCATAGATTTGGGAAATCAAACAAGCCTTTGACTTGCTCTCCAGAGCACTCACAACAATCAGAACCATAGGGGTTGATCCTCCACGAGAGCAGTGCCTGGATCTGGAAAGGCTGTGAGAGGTTCCTGGCAGGGGACAAATGGCCTTCCTTTCTACTGAGGATGCTGGCAAGGGCATATGGGCCTCATTGGAGCCACACAGACTAGTCTCACAGCAGATCATGTACTGAGCTCCTCGTCAGTAATGCAATGGGCCTTTTAAGTCACCTAATAGGTGACTGAAGAAGGTTCTGATCTGGGGAGCAGATGCTGTGTGTTCTGAAAACAGTTCCTCGGTGGCTGACTATGTGCCTGGGATTGTCCTGCTCCCTTCACACAGGCTTCTGCTTCCACATGCTGCTTATACTCCGCATGTGCAGGAAGCCTGAGTAGACACCAGGTCAGGTGTGCTCAACACTTAAAAACTTGGGACCTATGTAGTTACTCTAAAGTTGCTTGTTTGATGATTCTGCCCCATGTCTACTGGTTATGTGCAGTTACTTGAACCACCCCAGCTAAAACTGTCTGGTTCCGATCGGCTGCTGAGCTCATTATGCGCCCAGGATCTAGGTGCTAAAGTCAGAAGAGCTCAAGCCTGTGTGGCCGCATTGTCATGCATCTCAGTAAGACTTCTGAGTGCTTTGCCACTTTGTATATTGAAAAGGTAGATTACCTAAATTCTGACTCCAAGCAAACAAAATTGAAGCGCTTAAGTTAGAAAATGGAGCAGATTCTAAATTTGGACAAGACTCTTTGTGCATACTGAATGTTCATAACCCTGAGCATTAAAGTCTTCTGCTTCCCAGACATGATGAGACAATGCAAGAGAATATTTTACATGATTTCAATGATACAAATCACTCATCAGCACTGACAACCAAAGGTATCATTTAGAATTGCACACAGCTGATACTGTGTCCCTAAATATTTTCTTACTGGTCTCCTCTACATCTTTCCACACATTTCATTACATAGGGTTATGAGTTAATTCTTAGCAGCTCATTAGTGACATCAGTACATTTGTCCATAGCACACTGGGCAGCATGCACAGTAATTATTGGCATGAGCTATGATGTAATTTGTTAAGCCTTCTCTCATACCATATGAAAGAACCTAAGAAAAATTGGGTAGCAAATTAACATAATAACTTTAAGCCTCTGTAGCAATGTTGGACTATCCAATAAGGTTCATGATTTCTAACACAAAGGCCTTGGCTTTGGAGTTAGGTATGTTCATTTATGGCGGTGCA